AACCAGAGAAAAAGAGTTTACCATTTCAAATCGCTGTAGCTCTCACTTAACTCAGTGCTATCTAGATCACAGTAGCTCATTCACGATAGCCTCTTGGGCATTTGAGCTATCGGCTCATCACAATTTGGTTTGCTGTTGAATCAGCCTATGCTTCTTCTTGTTCGCAATTATTCATTCATAATCAGTGCTGCATGAGCACCGTGTGATTGAAGCTGAGATATGTTCGGCAGTTAATTTGAATGGAAGCATTATTCAATCGCCATCAATTGAGGCAGCATCGAATTTGCTGTGAAACGTGGGCGAAATTGTTTTTCGGAAACACATGAGCGCAACAATTCATAATAATTGTGCTTGGCACGTCAACTAATTAAGTCAATTTATCATTAGCCTGCACAAATTTCAATGCAGGCGCCCATCTGCCGTTGCCGTTGCCGTTGCCGTTGCCGTTGCCATTGCCATTACCCTCAGACATTGACATCTTGGCCTTGCCAGCGACAACGACAACGACAACGACAACGACAACGACAACGACAGCGCCATCGTCGATGCCGATGCCAACGCCATCGTAGTCGTCCTCGTCGTCATCTCTAATGGCAGCTCGTTAAATTTATTGCGCATACGCCCCCGTGTACCTGGAAGCGGTTGCGGCGATTTGTGAAGCTTCACGAGCTGCTTTAAATGTTAAACGCGCAAATTACGGCGCACGTGCCACAGCCATTGACTGCCACTGTGAGACTGCCGCACAAACTTTGACACACACACACACCCATACGCGCGCGCACACAGATACACGCATCCACTTATTGAAGGCGTTGCAACCTGGCAGCCTCTTGCTTTTGACGGCAAACAAATGCTTTGATATTTATTGCCAGCCAGCCATTCAGTCAGCCTGGCTGACGCACTGCACCAAACGCGCTAAGAGATAGCCAGAAAGGGAGAGTGAGAGAGAAAGAGAGAGAGAGAGAGAGAGAGTCAGTATGGCACTTAAAGTTTAAGCTAAGGGCATAGTTAGGTTGTTACCATTGGCCATTGTCTGCTTAGCTTGCGGGCGCTGTGGGCGTGGCTGTTGCCATTTGCAATAGAACGAGCATAAATATACTGAATATGCTTTTATCAATTTCTTACATATAATATCTATGCAGTTTCATTTAAATCAAAAAAAGGCTTTGAAAAAAATTGAAAATAAATAAATAAAAATAAAAAATATAGAAAATCCTTAGCCAAGCTGAAAAGCAATATAACAAACCTCCATTAAGCATACATCAAAATCTTTATCTGTTGAAAAAAAACGAATGTGTAAAGGAAATAAAGCACAATAAATAAAAATAAATAAATATTTTATATTGAGGCAAAGGTGCAAAAATGCTGTGTAAGATATGAAATATGAAACTATTTATTTCATATCAATTTCAAGAATCAACATTGAAATCTTTGCTGGTCAAAGTGCAGGGTATATTTGAGTAGAGCAATGGATGAATGACAGCTAGGATATACGAAAGCTAAATATGTAGAGAGTGCTATAGAGAGAGAGTGAGAGAGAGAGAAAGAGAGAGAGAGAGAGAGAGAGAGAGAGAGAATAAGTGAAAGCAATCTATTTAGCAACTTTGTATTCACATATCATTCAGACATACATAAGCACATTGGAAGCCAATATACCCTTTCGGCTGGCTCAGTGTACGGAACGGAACAACAAACACTTGGTCGAGCTCTCAGTTGATGTGTTGAGTGATGAGAGCGAGAGGAAATGATTGCTTGTTCAGCAGTTTCAATTTACATAGATACAGTATGCGCTACACACATGTGTGTGTGTGTGTGTGTGTGTGTGTGTGTGTATTACATGTATATGTATTACAGCTAGTGCTTGGGCACTAATTAGATCGTTCAACATTTTCATGCATTTTTGAATGGACTGTGGCAGGGCGAGTGGGGGTGGGGGTGGGGCTGTCGACAGACCTTTTAACCCTTATCACATAACTGGGATTCGGGCAAATGGTTTAGGGGGCTAACAACGCACTAACGGGTCACGCTCGAATTGCCCTTGGCAAGCATTTTTGGTATTTTTGGTAATTTGCTGCTTTCGGCTTGATTTGGCGTGCTTCGGCTTCGGCTTCGGTTTTGGCTTCGCCATTGGCATTGGCTTTGGCTTTGGTTAGTTGCTTTTAGCCACATTTGGAGTCCGTTGTTTGCCGTGTTATTATGTGCATCCTGTGCGTTCCGGGCCCTGTAATTTATTTATGGCCACATAATAAATCTGTGCATAAGACATTGTCCGCCCAGCGGCCAGCGGCCAGCGGAAGGATCTCTCGGCTGACCAGCAGCCCGGTCAGGGCTGAGTGTTCGGCCTGGCTTTGTTCGCTCTCCGCGCGTCTTCTGACGCTGGACGTGGCTGGCGTTGTATCTTTTAATGTTTTCCTTTCTCTTTATGCTTTATTGCAGTGTCATTTGCGCAAACTGTTGTTAATAGCCATGCGGTGACAAACGAAACCGGCCAACAGAGCTCGGCTCCAGCAGCAGCAGCAGCAGCTGTACAGTGGGTCGAACAGGGTATATATACACACTGAGAATGACGCTATATACATATGTATATATCGACTTGGGCTTACACAACCAACAAATGAAATCAGACACAAAACAACATTGGTCTCTGTAATTCTCCAGGGAATGAAGCACAAACGGAAGAACGGACGAATCAAAGCAGAGTAACTCTCACTCCCTGCCCTGAATATGCCCTGTAGTACTCTAGGTCAAGTCAAGACTCCCAATATTGACTATTTCAATTAGGACTGTCGAATATTTAAAAAAAATATCGTATCGATGATAGTTTAAGTTCTGAAAAATATCAATACGATATTTAAAAATATCGATATATCGATATGTCAATATTTTCAATGATTTTTAAATAACTTTTTACCCACAACAAATTTATTCGTCCCAACAAAAAAAGAATAATAAGAGTAAGTATATCATAGTGATTTTATTCTCATATACACCGCCATATCGGATATGTTAAGGCATATGTTTAGAGTCTGAATAATTCGTTTTCACAATATTCAATTTTTGTTCTTTTACTTGCCAACTGATATATATTAAAAATATCGCAAAAAATATTCAATATAAATATATTTCTTATACAAAAAGTGATATTTTGATATATTTTCAATATTGGCTACAGAATAGAGCTGAAAACGTTTGAGTCCACCAATCAAGCTTAGTCTTACATATATCACTCTCGCTTCATATTGCTCTCATTTGGCCAGGCTATATACACAGGGTCATTCCTAGGCCAGTCGAACAGTTTGTATTATTCGACTATGTTTATAATACTTGCGCATCGCTGGAAAAGATAATATTGATGGGCTATACTTAGTGTTACATTGTAAATATCAGAGCATCCGATTAGCGAGCACGTGAAGTGCTTGGCTCTGTGACTTGGTCACTCAGTGACTTTGGCAGCGATTCATTAGAGCCGCAGTCCATATCGATAATGAACCTGACTTTGTTTTTGCTGACTCAGTTGCCGTCGAGTGCCAGAGTGCCAGAGTGCCAGAGCTAGTTTCGACTCATAATTGCAAGTGGGGCAGAATCAACGCACACTGTGGCTCATGCGGGTGGCCCGCAAATGCTCTGTCCTAATTACTATCATTATCATTAATCATCATCATTATCATACGCTTATTTCTTTATGCACAGCAAAATGATTTGTATTCAGTGTTTTAATTTATGTCTACATATTATGCTGGTCAATGTACAGGGTATATTGGAACAGAGCAGTGGATTATTATTAACTTTATAAGCTACACATACACATATGCATGTATGTATGCACGTATTCCCAGATCGTGCTCAAAACAGTCGGATTCGCTTCACTTAGATGGCAACGAATGCCAACAATTGCGGCTCTTCCCCGATTTCACAAGCTCACTACGCATGCAACCGCTTGACTGATAAGAAAATGCGAGTCTGGTACATGAACTTACGAAACAAGTGCAATAGATTGTAAATTTACTTAAGGCTGTCAGTCAAATGAATGCTAGAATCTGTAGTCGTATATCAAATACTCTGAAATTGATATATGTATATGTATTATTTATTCACGAAAGTGTGCAATCCGAAAGACTTTTCAAATATACATACATGTGTACATGCACATATACCCATGTGTCTCCTGAAACTTTGTATTTATTGAATTTCTTTTAATTTTGACTAATTTTTTCTGCCCGTAAAATTAAATTCTAATTTTACAGAGTAGAGTATTGACTGCATTTGATATGATCAAGAGTTCTCTCTTTCCAGAAGAGTATTCATGGCTGTGTTATTCCAAGTGAGTAGATCCGCGCTAGACTCAACAGATTGCATTATCGATATGATCTATCATAATCGCATATATGTATGTACATATGTGCATGCTGGCCTATAAATTGAGCTCAGCTCAGGCAGACTGCCCATAGTGCTGTTTTTAGTTTGGCGCGATGCGAGTGTTAAACATTTTTATTGTGGGACTGATCGCTGTTTCCCTGTCTTTCCACCGTGCAAGTGGGAGCTGTGATCTCGAAATAGGTTCTCCGGAACCACTAATGGTAACAAGGCTAGGATCAAAACATTGGGTGTCGGTCACGGGGCCCATATTAACACGTGAAAGCGAGGAATCAGTTGATCTATATTGTGAAAGTGGATTTACGTATTTTGTACCGTATGTACTCAAGATATTCAACATATTCTTGCTAAACAGTTTGATAAGGAATTGATCTATGTTCTTCTTCATTCATTTGATAGTCCATATAACGAGTATTTTGATACGAATCTCACTACAATAAGCTGTAGGCAGGACAAATTTATTTTGATTACTCACTCGAGAGAGCCAGAAATTAATGGTGTACGTTGTCTGGCCAATGCCCATTCTCCCATATTTGAGAGCCGAACGAGTATGCCGGATTGCGAGGGTCACATGAGTCTGGTTGTTGGCCGGACTTCCGAAGAATATGGTTCACTAAAAAGTTTAGCAGCAGCTTAAGTATATCAGCTATACGGCATATTCCAAGTGGCTTGCACCGGTAAGAGCAATGACTCACAATGGTTTTCCGAGCCATAAATGCACTAACGCTATCTTGCCAACAGACTCAAGCTGGTCAGCTCAACCGACTGGGCCTAGACATTGAAGTGATCTATAGCCAGCATCTCTTCAAGCCATACAAGTAAGTCAAGGCCAACGATGCGTCAGTTGATCAACTTGATGTTTGACCCCGTTACAGCTCGGAGAGCGTAGAAGCCGCGTTCCGCGTCGACAGACGACTCAAGTCACTGATGGGTAGCGGTACACTCGAATATGCCGCCCTCATACAGGACCAGCCTCTCAGCAGTGTGCAAGACGAGTTTAAGGAAATGCTCTCAATTGTTTGGCTAAGCGCTCTGCGCAACGGTAATTGGCGGCATTTCCTGAATGCACTAAAGTCGGCAAGCATAAATGCTAAATATGATGTTAATGTCGGTGTCTCCGGGACCCTTAGCCTGCCCACAACGATAGCCTGCAATGACAGCCGCCTGCTGTCCGTCGAACTGGACTCCGGGCACACCGTCACGGTGCCGGCTCTCATCTGGGCACAGGTGCGTGCAGTGGCGCCCAGTGTGAATGTGACGAACGAGTTCGTAGTGATTGCCCACAATTCGCCCTTTGTGAGTACACGCACACACTCGTCGATTATTCGTTGAGGAATTAACCAATTTACCCATGCTCTTGCAGTTGAAGGTCAATGAGCGCAACGGTCTATGCGAGAGCATGTGCCACGAGGTGCCTTGGCTGCGGCACAGCCTCTTCAGCAAGCTCCACCAATATCCCTTCTATGGCCTAGCCGAGTGCTGTCACGTTGCGGACGTTCAAGACAAACTTGATAATTTTCCCAAGTCCCAGGCAGCGCCACTCCTACCACCACATATTACGAAAATACTAACAGATCGTTCATAAAGTACGATGAGCCGACAAAGCAGGTGGAATGTTCTATGAAATATTGCCAAATTCCTGATAATGCTATAATCATATAGTATATCATATATTTTTGTAAATCTCCTCTATCTTTGCTATCTCACATTCAATCAAATTTTTCAATTTAAATGCAGTAATAAAAATTTAGAAGCGCAAACACTGTTTCGATTAGCCCCTCGACAGACCAGTTATCGTTAAACATCGATCGAGCAATGCATAATTCTATAGATGATGACATATTGATAAAGACGCCATCTCAGCTTCAGCAGTTTTTTCTTCACCATGCGCCAATTTCGAGATATCTTCTGGTCTTGGTTTTTTTTTTTAGGTCCACGTCCGTACTAGTTTCAGTCAACTGAGAGTTATGAGCCAGTAGCCCTTAGACCGACAGTTCGTTGTCAGCCATTAATTTGGCATGTGGCAGGAGCCCTGAATGGCTTTTGGCCAAGTGACAGCCGGCAAATGCGTCAAAGTCCGCAATGTGAAATGACAACGAAATAATTTATATGATTTTTAATTAATTTTCAGTCAGCTCAGAGCAACCAAAGAAAAAAGAATTTAACTAAAACATGGCAATGCACTGTAGGACCAGCAGGAAAATAATAGAGGAACTTTAAATCGAATTGGAAAGGAAACTTAGACCCACAAGATTATCCTCTCAGAGATTGCAGATGATTATTTTAATATACATACATATATACTTAGGCTGTCACATATCTATACAAGTTGGTCTATAGATATAAGACAATATTGAGGAGCCTGATCATCTTCTCCCAAATAGGGTATTGAGCTTCGGTTTGCGTTCGGCTTATTCTTTCTTTCCATCTTTGTCGTTCAGCGTCGTTTGTCGTTTGTCGTTTGTCGCTTTTCGGCTGTGTTTCGTGCTTTCATTTGTTTGTTTGTTTGTTTGCTTGTTTATTTGCTTTAATGCTTGATTTATGCGTCTCAGCTAAATGAGAAACCACTTAGGCAATGCGTCCTGCTCCATTCTGTTGCTGTCCTGACCCGGTTCCGGTTGTCGGCACTTGTGCATAATTTAAATGCCTCAAGCTTATGGTAGTCTAAAGGGTGGGGGGAGGGTAACGTTAGCCGCTTGATATTCAGGGAGACAAAGACATAGAGACAGAGACAGAGACAGAGACAAGGGCAACGACAAGGACAAGGGCAAGGGCAAGGGCTGACTGGCTGGATGAGCGCCGCTTAATCAAATGTAATACCTATAATATAAATTAAACAATTTGTTTTTTGTTTTTATACGCTTGCCTCAGTCGAAGGCCGAGCGAAGGAGTGTGCATGCGTGTGTGTGAGTGGGTGTGAGCAACTGATTGGGGCTCGGGACTTGGACGTTTTACGACTTCATTTGGCGTTACGTGATATTGCAAATAATGAAAAAATAACCCAGCAGCAGCAACAGCAACAACAACAACAACAACAAAGCAAAAGCAACTAAAAAGCAACAGCATAAAACCGACTGGAAAAGGGGCAGCAAGGCCAGGTGCGAGGGAGGTGGCGAGGGGTTGACTGCGTATTGACGGCTAAAAGGTGGAGGGGGGGCGGGTTGGCACTTCCGTTTGCTGGTGTCGTGGGTCGGTCGGATGTTGAGGCCGGTTAAAGGGAATTTAAGTAAAACATAAACGCAAACGGAAATAGCCAAAAAAATTTAGCGATTTTTGGCACGCGACTTTACACGCAGGTAACAGCAACAGCAACAACAACAACAAGTGCCGTACGTGAGTGTGGGTGTGTGTGTGAGTGTGGGTGTGAGTGTGTATGTGGTACAGTGACACACAAAGCGGTTACAAAACAACAACAAAAGGAAACAAACAAACTCCGTAATAAAATCGTGCACAAAGCGCTAAAGGAATACAGAATTCAATTCTGCTCGACGCGCAGATGCCCTGTAATAGGCGTGATTGACAGTTTGTCTAAGTGTACAAGATTTGTGCTTAACAAAAATTTGAGCTCAAAGCAATTTATCGATTGTTGATCCTGTATGACCTAAAACAGCTATCGATTATAGACAATTAATCGATAGCGACGAATTTTTGTAATCAAAAGTTTTGGACAAACTAAATTATTAAGTAAATTGGGGACCACCTACCGATTACAAATAGTTTATTGATCAACAAAATGTTCGAAAATTTATCGATAGTTTATAGACGCAAATTTAAAAAGCAAATTTGTTTAATATATTATAAATGTATATAAGTTGACTCATGCGGCTCATATACAAAACACTTTATGGAAAAGCCCGTCCAGCAGATCTTTTCCCCAATAAGCATTCAGACGGCATTCAAAGCATTGCAGGGTATAGTGAAATACCGGCACCAACAACTGAAAGCAGACACAAGGCGTCTGAAAAGGCGTGTGGGGGCACAAGAGAAGGGCGTTAGTGTGGCTGTGTAGGCGTGGCTGTTGCTTGTTGTGCGCCAACAAAATGTGGACAGCAGAAGAAGAAACGCAAATGCCAAACCGTGGGCGCTGCACAGGTCCAACGATTGATAAACAGAACGCCAGGGAGCAGAGTAAAATCCGATAGCTGTTAACCGTTAAGAGCTCGGTTATGCACAGAGTTCTCGAAGCTGGGATGAAGCAGTTATATCGTTTTTCTTGATGGACCATTGAAACCGAGCCAAGATCAAGAATTCCAATGCTCCGAGTTGTTATCGAAGTTAGTATAAAAACGAAACTTGTTATATAAGCGCGTAAGCTTAACGATATTGAAAAAAATCGATTATAAATTAGCTTTTAAAGTTATTGATATGTTATCGACTTCGATTAACAACGTTCTTACATGGGAAAATTCCCTGAGTTAGCTTCTCATATGTAAGCTCTCTAGTTAGCTTTACCTAAGACTGTTATTAACACCAATTCCTATTGAGAAATCGATAAAATGCCGATAGTTGTAAAAGTTAATTTCTAAGCTAACAAGAAAGCCTCTTCTGATCCAGTTTTCATACATCTGTGAATCTGTGATATATTTCGTTTTCCAGTTTTTAGTACAGTTGAGTCTTGCATCGATAATTGTTAGGGATTGCATTGTTTGGCATTTAGAATCGGATTTCGTTGCATATATGTATATGCGTATTTATCTGTATATATGCAGATGTTTTGGCTTCAGAGCAGCTGGCAGTGAGCCCGTTTAGTGGAAGTCCACATGGACCCCCCGCTTCCTGCTCCCCTCCACTCCCAGCTTACGTCACGCCCGCAACGTAAAGCGGCGCGTGCTCAACTGCAACACTCAGCAAGGCAAATACACACACACACACACACACACACACACACACAAATTGAGAAGGTAAGCGCTATACGGGATTCATGATGTTTTCTTGTTGGTCTTTTTTACTTTACGTTTTGGAGCTGCGGGGAGGTTTGAGTTTTCTTTTGCTTTCGGGTTTTTAGGTTTTTTCCTCTTCTTTCTTTTTTTTTTTTGGATACATGTACCGCTATTTTCATTCGTATTCAGTTGAGAAAGGTATTAAACCGGAAAAACACGTTGCACATCGATGTATTCCCCGTTGGCCGCAATGGCCACCTGTCCCCTCCCACACAGCTGTTCACGTCGGGCTTTGGCTACGTCTCCTTCAGCGTCCGCTTTGGCTTGGACTTGAGCTGCGGCACGTGTATTTACGTGAAGTCGTCGACGCGAATGACCAGACGGCCAGCGATGTGGGGTGAGACGAACGATGGGATGGTGAAGTGGATGGGGATGGGCGAAGGCGAAGGCGAAGGCGAAGGCGAAGGAGAAGGGGTGAGGTAACCGTTGGGCAGCTTCAAGAATGTCAACGAAATCAAATGAAATTACGTCAGCCAAGTGCAGAAGCAGGCCTGATAAGAACTTAATTAAAAGTGAGCGTAGCGTAGAAATTAGTTAATTAATATTAAATTCAATTTGAACGCGCTCGGAGCTGGACCCACAATTAGTTTATCAAATGAGTGCCCCGAGTCTCGAGTCACTTGCAATTCGCTCGCACGTGACACCATTAAAGCCAAGTGAAACGTGGTCCACGTCTTGGCCGGGAAGCCACAGCGCAAGGCACTGCCTGGTAAGTGGCATTTGCATGTATCCAGCAAATCCGTCAGTCCCAAGAAACCGAACGCAGCTCATGTAACTCGAAATGTCTGAGCAACTTAAGCGACATGCCCGATGGAGTCTTGCAGAAATGTGAATGCTTTGAGTGGTATTCGGATAATCGGAGAGACAAAAATAAGTTACTTCCAGCAGACATCACCGAATGCATTCAATTTACTCAATTGAATGGGCGAGACCTTTCATTCGAGTTGAGACTCAACTTTAGCTCAAGCTGTATATGAAGCATTCAATTCACCCAATGCAAAGACTCTTTGCGAATGCCATAAATAAACTATATAGCTACTCTTTACTCGACTCAAGCACTGAGATCCCTCGATTCAAGCCAATGAATGATGATTTCTCTTGATAAGACAGGTTATTACAAATCATTCGAATAACCTAATCAAGCATGATATGAATGTTCTAGGAATGCTCTATGAATGTTCAATTACATATCACTCGATTTATTCATTCAAATATGATTAAAGCATTCATTATATACATGTATTGATGTTCCAATTTAATAATTTTAATTCATGCAGCTCTAGTAAGGGAAGAGAACTCTAATCAAAATGTGAAAATAACGTTTGCCTGCCCTTAATTAAATTGCTCAAAGCATTTCTTTAAAATGTGCTACAAATTATCGACTTGAGTCTGTCTAGCTGTCTTAGATTGATCAACAAATTGCAGCTGCAACGCCTACGAATGCCTTTAAAGCATCAGCCTATAATATATTTATATATGTATGTATAAATGTATATGTATGTATATAAGTGTGTGTATAATCCCATGCAAAGGCAGCTTGTGCTGTGGCTTTGTCAATTTGTTTATTGCTTATTCCTATGGCAACACCTTTTGGCCAGCCCTTGCCTCTGCCTTCCACTTCAGTCTCGCCGGCATTCATATGCAT